ATATTAGTAAAATTAATGGTAATTAATATATTCTAAATCATCATGAAATTGAAAATTATATATATATTGAATTACCATCATATGTTTTAGAGAAATATACAAAGAAGAACCCTAGAAATCAACTTTGCTTCTTCTCCCAAAGTTATAAGCAGGTAAAATGAGTTCAAGTATTTATTTATCTATTTTCAATTTGATTATCAGTTAAATATTCTTGATTAATTTTACAGTGTATTACAGTTGATTCGATTGAACCAATGGAATTTAAAAGAACGACAGTAGTTACAACGATAACAGTAGTGATAATGTTAATAGGAGGTGCCATAAGTGCTCCTAAAACATGGATTGTGGGAGATGAATATGGTTGGGATACCATCATTAACGTCGAACAATGGCCGGAAGGAAAACACTTCTATGCTGGTGATATACTTGGTATGTATATCTATCTATATATAATATATCTCTTCGTGTATATACATATATATATATGTAAATTAAATAATTATTTTTTGTTAAAAAATATATTGCAGTGTTTAACTACGATTATCAAGACAGCAACGTGGTGAAACTATTAAATAAGACAGGATATGATACGTGTACAAAACCAGAGGGTGCCGAGGAATACGAATCGGGAAATGATAAAATTCCACTTGATTTTGGACTCAATCACTTCATTTCTGGTTATCCCGTACAATGCCAAGCTGGCTTGAAGATGTTCATTAATGCCACGGCTCCCCCAAATTGAACATTAATGTACCTTTTGGATTCTTGAGATTTTAATAAATACTATAAGCTATTGTTTTCGACATGTTTCAAGAATTAAATGCTTAATATATATGTTTACGACGCAAGTCATATTAAAATTTCATAAGTTTATGTTCACTAACTTGGTATAAACTGTGATAAGTCATACATCAATGCTATATATATCACGTCGATCACAATTCAAATTGAAATTCTACAAATTTTAAAATCATTCGTTAAATTACTTGTAAATGTTTAATATATCTGTTAAGTATCGAATTAAATTTTATAAATTTTAAAATTATTTCGTAAGTTAATGTAAATTATGATAGAACAGATATCAATGTTACGTATTACATCGACTGCAAATCATATTAAAATTTTATAAATTTCAAAATTATTCACTAAATTGGTATAAAATATGATAGATCATACATCAATCAATATAATTAAACGTAAGATATACATTAAATTCACTTTTACTTTTAAATCGAAAACTTGTGTACATGTTACAATATACGAGCCAGGAGTGGCAGTTGGGTTTGGAGCGATTATGCGGAGTTCTTCCGGCCATCCGATTCTTGTGCTCTCGGCTACTCTACAAGGGTGTCGATCGTTCATTCCAAGCAGACCTTCTGGTTTGTAGACCCACCCTAAAGTATATTCAAGATCACATTCACCATCCAGGAATCGTAGAACTCGATGCTAAATTGGTTCATACAGCTATACTCTCCGCAGAAGAAGACAGCTGAGAATTCAGCTCCATAATTCATGATTCCAGAGACGGCCATCCGATTCTCGTGCTTTCGGCTACTCTACAAGGGTGTTGATCGTCATTACTACCAAAGCTTCTGGTTTGTAGACGCACTTTAAAGTATATTCAAGCTCACTTTCACCATCCAGGAATCGTAGAACTCGATGGTAAATTTGTTCATACAGCTATACTCTCTGCAGAAGAAGACAGCTGAGAATTCAGCTCCATAAGTCAGGATTCCAGAGACGGCCATCCCATTGTGGTGTTCTCGGCTACTCTACAAGGGTGTCGATCGTCATTCCAAGCAGAGCTTCTGGTTTGTAGACGCACCCTAAAGTATATTCAAGATCACTTTCACGGCACATGAATAGTAGAACTCGATGGTAAATTGGTTCATCAGCTGCACTCTCTGCAGAAGAAGACAGCTGAGAATTCAGCTCCATAATTCATGATTCCAAGAGACGGCCATCCGATTCTTGTGCTCTCGGCTACTCTACAAGGGTGTCGATCGTTCATTCCAAACAGACCTTCTGGTTTGTAGACGCACACTAAAGTATATTCAAGATCACTTTCACCATCCAGGAATCGTAGAACTCGATGCTAAATTTGTTCATACAGCTACACTCTCCGCAGAAGAAGACAGCTGAGAATTCATCTCCATAATTCAGGATTCCAGAGACCTTCTTCTTCGAGACCGGCTTAGATATTGTGCTCGCGTAGATTCGAAAACAATGTAATAATTAAAAAACACACACACACACACACATATATATATATATATATATATAGACACACACATTATGATCTAATTAATATAATAGCTTCTATTTATATACTTGTATGAGTTTATAATTTAAAATATTAAACATAACTTGTACACATTAAGAAATTAGGAATTGTTTTTAAAAGCATTATTTACGAAGAACATATACCTTAAAAGTGGATTAATTAGCAAAATTACTCTATTAATTTAAATATAATTATAAAAATATATTTACCCTCCAATTTTATTTTATTTTTAAAAAAAATTAAAATTACAATTTCTTTATGATAAGATTAATAAAATCTTATTCTAAAAAAAAAAATAATAATTAAAATATTACTTAGTAATGATGAATGTTATTCAGCATTACAGCTCATCTTCTTCTTGCATGAGTATAAACCCAGACGCGGTTCTTTTTTTCTTCTTGCATTACTACGATTCATCGTATTAGAACCAGATTGTCGGACACATACACACACAGAGAGAGAGATATATATATATATATATATGTATGTATATATATAAAGTACTAGTTTCGTATTCCTACATTACCGGAAGAGAATTGAGAAAATATTAATGTTCTCTTTTTTATGTTTGGAATCATTTTGACTAAAGTTGCTGGGTATCTCTCTCTGTTTCTCCAAGTATTTCAGTTTCACTCACTTTCAGATTCTGGGTCTTGTATTTTTGAATTCTATTTGAGTTCTTCGTTCTGTTCATTTGATTTTTTTTTTTTTTTGAGTAGTAAAAACCAGTGGCTATGGAATCTCTTCGTCTGAGTCTATACATTATGGGGTTTTGCTGCTTTTTAATCGTGGTAGCTTACGCTGCAACAGATCCCAATGACTTGAAAATCCTGCTTGATTTCAAGAACGGATTGGAGAATGCAGAGCTGCTGAAATGGCCTGAAAATGGCGATGATAATCCTTGTGGTCCGCCATCTTGGCCTCATGTCTTTTGTGCTGGCAACAGAATCACCCAAATTCAGGTTCAAAACATGGGTCTTAAGGGACCCCTTCCTCAAAATTTCAACCAGCTTATCGAATTGTACAATTTGGGTTTACAGAGGAACAGATTCAATGGCTCTTTACCCAGTTTTAGTGGGTTGTCGGATTTGGAGTTTGCTTTTTTGAATGACAATGAATTTGATTCCATCCCTTCAGATTTCTTTCGAGGACTCACTAGTCTACGTGTTTTGGCTCTGGATAACAATCCCCTTAACGCCACTACAGGATGGGTGATTCCTCCAGATTTGGTTAGTTCAGCTCAGTTGGTAAATTTGTCTTTGATACAATGCAATTTGGTAGGACCTGTTCCTGATTTCTTAGGTAAGTTTTTATCACTTCAAGCTCTCCTTCTTTCGTACAATAGATTGACTGGTGATATTCCCGAGAGCTTTGGGCAGTCTATGATGCAGATTTTGTGGTTAAATGGTCAAAGTGGTGCTGGGTTGAGTGGTAAACTTGATGTGTTTACAAAAATGGTGTCATTGACACAGCTTTGGTTACATGGTAATAAATTTACAGGGACAATACCAGAGAATATTGGGAATTTGAAATTGTTGAAGGATCTTAATCTGAATACCAATGAGCTTGTTGGGTTGATTCCTGAGAGTTTAGCTAATATGGAGCTAGACAATCTGGTTTTGAATAACAATTTGTTTATGGGTCCAATTCCTAAGTTTATGGCTGGTAATGTTTCTTATACTTCTACTACTTTTTGTCAGTCTAAACCTGGTATTCCATGTGCTCCAGAAGTTAACGCCCTTTTAGATTTTCTTGGTGGCTTGAATTACCCATTTAATCTGGCTTCTCAATGGTCTGGTAACAATCCATGTGAAGTGCCTTGGTTGGGATTGTCTTGTAATCCACAGTCTAAGATTTTCTCTATTAATTTGCCTGGTTATAATCTTAGCGGTGTGCTCAGTCCTTCGCTTGCCAAGTTAGATTCATTGATGGAAATCAGGGTTGCAGGAAACAATATCAGTGGTACTATTCCTGAGAATTTCACCACATTGAATTCACTGAAATTGTTGGATATTAGTGCAAATAATTTTGAACCTCCATTGCCCAAATTTGCTGACTCTGTTAAGATATTGACTGAGGGGAATCCTCTTTTGGTTGCTGGGGGTAATAGAAGTTTCTCGCCTCCTAGCGAGAGTCCAGCATCTACACCAACTACTCCACCTTCATCAACCACAAGTCCACCTTCCCCAAGGCCTGATAGGAACTCAAATTCATCTAGTTCCCACCAAAATGACTCTCAACCAAAGAGTTTTATAACCAGGCTGGTAACTCTGACTGGAGTAGCAAGTGTGGCAGCATTGGTTCTGCTGTTAATTTCTGTATCTGTATATTGTTGTAAGAGGAGGAAGAGCAGTACAGAAGATTGTAATTCCATTGTTGGTAACCCTAGAGAGTCATCTGATTCAGGAGACAAGGCTAAGACAATTGTTAATAAGAGCAGTTCTGGAGGCATACCTGCACAAACTGTCCAATACCCTGGGAGTGATGTCAGTGAAGGAACAGAAAACTCTGATGTGGTGGAAACTAGATCTCTGGTCATATCTGCTCAAGTTCTTCGCAGGGTGACCGAGAATTTTGCACCAGAAAACGAGCTTGGTCGTGGTGGATTTGGAACCGTTTACAAGGGTGAGTTGGATGATGGTACAAAAATAGCAGTAAAGAGAATGGAGTCTGGTGTAATTAGCAACAAAGCATCAAATGAATTTCAGTCTGAAATAACAGTTCTTTCGAAGGTTAGACACCGCCATTTGGTATCTCTTTTGGGTTATTCAATTGAAGCTTCGGAGAGGCTTTTAGTGTACGAGTATATGTCTCAAGGTGCTTTAAGCAGACATCTTTTCCATTGGAAGAGATTAAAGCTGGATCCTCTATCTTGGACAAAAAGGCTCGTAATCGCATTGGATGTTGCTCGAGCAATAGAATATCTTCATAGTCTAGCCCATCAAACGTTTATACACCGAGACCTCAAATCTTCCAACATTCTTCTGGATGATGACTTCCGGGCTAAAGTATCAGATTTTGGACTGGTGAAACTCGCCCCTGATGGGGAAAAATCTGTTGTCACAAAGCTTGCTGGAACTTTTGGCTACCTAGCACCCGAATATGCTGGTAAAAAATCTTCTCTCAAACATTCTAAATGTTTAATTCTTATAAAAATTATAATCGACTTTAATAATAATAAATTTTTTTCCTTTTATAGAACTTATTTGTATTTAAGTTTTTATTAAATTTTTTATAATTTTTTTCTACATATATCTAAACGTTCTAAATTAGATCTGATGAACAAAAATTTAACAAATTAGAAAATTTAATGATAAATATTGAAGAACATATGCATGTATATGTTTTACCTAGTCATGGATTTTTTTTGATTCATGGAGAAATTTATAAAGTTCTCAACTTTATATCTTAGCAACTACCTATCCTGTTACCTTGTATTTTGCTTCTAGGTAGCTTGTTTCTCAAGTTATAATATTTACAAGTTCTCTTCTGGCTTGTTTCTAAACATGGTAGCAGATCAAAACAACTTAATCCATACTTGCATCTTGCAACTCCTATATATTTACTGAAATTGTCATGGTTGCAGTGATGGGAAAGATCACAACAAAAGTGGATGTGTTCAGCTTTGGAGTAGTATTAATTGAACTTCTGACTGGACTAACAGCTCTTGATGAGGATCGGTCTGAGGATCGAAGGTACTTAGTTGAGTGGTTTTGGCGAATTAAGTCGAACAAAGACGAACTTATGGCTGCCATCGATCCAGTTCTCGAAGCCAACGAAGAAACACTCGAGAGCATGTGTGTCATAGCTGAACTTGCCAAACATTGTACCGCAAGGGAACCAAATCATCGACCGGACATGGGACACGCTGTGAATGTTCTTGCTCCTCTGATCGAGAAATGGAAGCCGGTGGACGATGCATCCAGGTATTATTCGGGGAATGATAACGAGACACCTCTTCCCCAGATGTTGGAGGTATGGCGACAAGCTGAAGGGAAAGATGTTAGTTATTCTAATGGTAATGATAGCAGAGGAAGTATTCCATTAAGGCCATGTGGATTTGCAGATTCCTTCACCTCTGCTGATGGTAGATGAATGTATGTATTGATTTAATCGAAGGGGTAAAGTTGTTTGGTGGTGGATTTTGAATTTGATTCTTTGCTTCGAAGAGGGTAAGAGATAAATTATGAATATACTTTATTTGGTATTTATATAGATTGGATTATGTTTGAACTTTCATTACCAAGAAAATTATTTGTTTATAGAATCATGTATGACACCTGCAACTGTCACCTTCCTCACGTCGTGGAGAATAGATACACACATACAAATGTATAAGTGCAGAAAATAGATTTAGAATGAGAATCCTGACTCGGCTTTTCCAGATATCTATATATATGTATCTATACACGCACATATTTTTAAAACTTCTTCTCTTATTTTCGTCATGCTTGGAATGGCAGTATAGAGAATTTATTAAATCTAATATTTTTTTGCTTACGAGTGTATATGTAACCAACATTGCATAATAGTATAAACAAGTGAACACTTCGTTAATCATATTGCACATACTGTATATATATATATATATATATATATAGTCCTTACAAAAACGATCAGAAGAAGCATTAATCTTCCTTCACCAAAAACCAAACAACCAAAACTCAAGAGAGTTACAATAGCATGAAGGTCAAGTCTTCACATTTTTAGACCAAAATCAAGTGCAAATGGAAATACACACACACACACAAACACATATATATATATATATATGAGTGGAGATATTGATCATGGTGTTGTTGGTTTCTTGGGAGTATTGCCATTGTGGTGCAGTGGATCTGGACCAGAGGGAACTGTTCTTAGCTCCCAATCCCCCATCCTCTCCCTGTTATCAACTCCACCCATTAATCCCTTCCCTAGATACATGTTTGCTCCTTCTACCACCTGTATACACACACACACACACACACACACACACACACACATATATGTAAATATACTCGCACATATATAAACAATGCCAAATGAAATTCATTACCTTTCGGTTAACAGCTGCATTGACATAAAAGCAGCCATACCCAGAACTGCAGTCTGTCGCAAATTAATCATAACAAGTTCATTAACGTTTCACAGTCAACATACGTATACATGTATATACAGTGTGTGTGAGTGATTATGTAGAGTTAGAAAGAGACCATGAACATGTTGCACGGTAACCAAGCAGACAACCAGCAGCAGAGTTACACTGGTAATCTTTGACGTGAACTCCATATTAGCTATATATATAAGTATGCTTCCAGGGAGCAAGAGTCAGAAGAGGAAGCCGAAGAAGAGAGATAAAAAAAAAAGAGTTTGGTGATGGAAGGGTGGAAAGTTGGGATGAACTTATAGAGAGAAAGGATTAAAAGATCGAGAAGGTGCATGCAAATGATTAGGTAAGCAGCCATTTTTGGAGAAATGATTAAAAGCTTTGGATTAGATTTGAACTGATCGCGGCTGACGACGGCGCCGGCGTGAAAAGACCTTCCACCTTCATCCCTTCCTTCCCACCTGAGATCCTCTTTTTGCACCTACTCTGTGTTTGTGTGTGTGTATACATATATATATATATATATATATATACAATATGACATCATTATTGATGTTAATTTGCAGAAGACAAATCAGCTTTACAGAAAATCAGACACTGTGCATGTTACACCTGAAATACGTTAGCAAGGTCAGTTTTCCGTTATGCTTCTAATTTTTTATAGTTATATCCTGTCTAAAATGTACTACTGTAAACCCAGAAGAAAACTTATATACATAATATATAGATATAATACAATATTTAAAGGTAACCCACATGCTTTCTCCTGCTGTTAGAAGAAATTGTTGCACTAATATAAA